GCTTCCAGAGCGCATGGGGTCGCGCGTCTCGCCTAACCGCGCAGCTCTGTGTTCCTGTACTGCTTCACGTTCGTACTCCACAGGTTCACCACACAGCCAGGCGCTACGCAGAACTGCAACTGCCTTGGATGTCTTACCTTCTTCTAACCCCTCCCGATTACGGGGTTTCAAAGCACAACAATCAAGAACAACTGATCTCAAGGATCACAATTACCTGCTTGAAGAGGATGGTGCAAGTCTCCTGAGATCACCTTTGGATGACTAAGTCTGTTACGCTCATCCTTGGGAGGCTCGTGTTAGCTTACAGAGATATCAATGAGTAGTAATACCTCCCAATTGCATCTATTACATCCCTTCACCCAGAATTGTAGCTGAAGAGGTGCAGAATCATAGAATCACACACTGGTTTGGGTTGGAAGGGACCTTAAAGCTCATCCAGTTCCAACCCCCTGCCACGGGCAGGGACACCTTCCACTAGAGCAGGTTGCTCCAAGCCCCTGTGTCCAGCCTGGCCTTGAGCACTGCCGGGGATGGGGCAGCCACAGCTTCTCTGGGCATCCTGTGCCAGCACCTCAGCACCCTCACAGGGAAGAACTTTTTCCTAAGTTGGGGGAGAGGAAGGGGGATTGTGCTGAATAAAAATGACTTCCCATTAAGATAGCCTGTGTATTTAAAAGATGAAAATGTCTCAAAGCTTCTTGAACAGAAACATTTTACAGGACAAACTGAGTTACGATGGGAGCAGCTACTGGAAGATGTATCAAAAGGGGCCACTGAAGTTTATAAAATAAAGATTGACCATGCCACCTTGCTTTTGTATTTAATTAAATCTTTGCTCTTTAGTTATAATTATTCTGATCCAGTCAAAGTTACTATGGTTAATTAGAAAAGCATGCCTGGTTTATTGGCTTGCAGGAGATGTAATGCCACTAAAGCACAGAAATAAATGCTATTTTGAGGTAAAGTGCTTCAGCTGAAGTAACCCATCCAGCTGTCATGAAATGAACGAACTAGCTTGGCCTTCCAACATAGCACCAACATTAAGTTTCCAGCAAGAGCTGAAATAATACCGTATTTCTCTCCCTTTTGCAACAACAGTGTAACTCTTGCTTATCATCATAAGTAGTGCCTTAACACACCTGTCTTACTCTCTGTCCCAGCTTTCCTCCAAAATTGTCTTTATTCCAGGTGTGGTGGTACAATTATTACTATTAAAGATTTGAGAGGGCTGACTAAGAAGTTTATCCCAACTAAAAGCTAACAGTCTGTGATGGTTGCCAACTCCCACTTCTGAGCTAAGGTAACTCTAAGTGTGCCACCACCACAGGCTCCACCACCAGAAACCATCACTCCACAGTGTTATGTCATTTACTGTTTGATTCTTAGGACTGTGGCCATCAGCAAGCTACTGAAGGAGCCCAGCCCTCCCAGGATGGATACCTGGCTTTCCTAACATCAAAATTATTGCTTTTCCTCACCTATACATTGGTGATACAGAGAACAATATACACTGCGTATAGAGAACAGGGAAGCAAAGAGGGAGATGCTGCCCAAATGTTCTCTCACTATGATCATAGTTAATAATGCCTCTTATGCACTTTGAGTCCCCAGATCTCCAACACAGACTAATAATCACTGGATCTGTTTAACAAAAAGGTCCTCATTAATGAAATCATAACATGCACCCAGTGTTTATGAACCACATGGCCTTAATTAGAAATATCTTTTAATTTACACTAAACAATAATAAGAAATTACTGAAGCTGTAAAAATCCACTGCATTGATCAAACAATAAAAAAAGAAAACACCACAGAAATTGATGTCACCATTCAACAAGGCTCCCGAGAGTCAAGGACAAGTTTCTCCATCTCCTTTACAAGTTCACCAAAAAAAAAAAAATTCACATCTACATTTCTGCTGAAAAAAACACAACAACAGAAACACATTGAAAATTTCCAAATCAGGGAAGGGGATTTAGAAGGAACTTGAGCCACTGGGAAAAGGCTTTTCAGGTTCTTTGGCTTTCACGATACAGGCACCCTTGCCAACACACATGTGAAACAAACCAAAAAGATGGCATTGATCTCCAGTCTGAATGCACCTATGGATGACACAGTACTGGAATACCCTGTATCCATAACTTCCCTTACTCAGCCTGGAGCTGGACTGGTCCAGACGGCTAAGACACAGTCCAAGTTCCCAGGTTTTTCTGTTTCAGATAAAAGGGTTGAGTGTTAACCTTAATACTGGAAGCTGCGTTTAGTCTGAATGTCATCAAGAATCTGCTGTAATTCCTCATCTTCAAACCGGCCCTCCAGGCTGCAAGATAAGAACAGCGAGGATACATTAAAGCTTTTAGAAGTAATCTCGTTCCCCTAGATTAATTCCATTCTCCCCCATCAGTCTCAACACCATCATTATCCACCTGTATGCTACCACCAGGAACCACCTACAACGTACAAATACCACGCTAACCCCTATGCAGTGCCTCCTCTCTAAAGTGACAGAACTCCATCCTGCCCCGAACCTTCTCCTGAGTAATTTCAAAATGTTTTATCAAAAAGGTAAGGTGCAGGTCTAAACAGACTCTAAATGAAGTCTGTGTAGCTGCATGGTCATAAGCCAGTCCAGTCTCGCTATGAAATCTTTAACGTATAAGGAAGAAACTGTAATTCAGATGCATGTTCTGTTCCCTCCTCTATCTCAGGCCATGAGGCAACAAATCAAAATAGGAAGAAGTTACTACTTGTACATCATTCACGAAGTTCATAGGAGCATTGTCATTTGCTCTAATGGAAGAAAATAAAAACAGAACACAAACCAAAACAACCAACAAACACAACCACAGCTGGGTGGGCTAAGTCCCCCAATTTAAGCTGTTTACACTTAATCCAGTAAACATTGTCTGAGGTGCATTAGGGACACTTACAAACAGTGCTTCATTGTCATATCAATGGGTAGGTGAAGAAAGACCAAGACCAGAGCATTTCCATCAACAGAGCTGGACTGAAGAGAGGGCATCTGCCCGTAGCTGGCTTTAGATCATGGAAAAAGTACAAATCAATCTTTTTATGATACATAAATGCTCACCTAGGAATCAAAGCTTTTGCCTCCTCAGCTGTCTCTGGACACAAGTTAGCCAAACATGCCAATTCAAATTTATGGAGCTTTTTCTGGAGCAGCAAACTGTAAGGAAAGACAACAACTTGGTGGAATTAAAAGAAAGAAAGAAATATAAAAGGGCATAAACTAAACCAAATAGGTCTATTTTTTTCATTCTGGTTTTGGTACTGAAGCCAATGATTTTTTCAGGAGGAAAGACTCATTATATAATTGCATAGAGAAAAAAAACAGGCACATGTGTTCACTTCCCCTGTATCACTCTACAAAGTCCAGAAAATCCTCCTGTTTAATGCAACCAGCTGTCATATAAACACTGGAAACAAAAGCCGTTCAGGAGGCTTGGCCTAGACAAAGTACAGCCCTCCAAGAAGAACTACGATCAAATTTCTGCCCTCTTCAGAAAGACAAGATTCAGAATTACAGCACAAATCAGAAAACACCACTGAGCTGGACTTTCATAAAGCTGCATCAATAATAAACAGCAAATTCTCCAGTACACTCTTACACCCTAACTTTTCCACTCACCTTCGGACGCTGGCAATGGTTTCCCGGTTTTTGAAGCGGCTGAAGCGCGCTGTGTAGTTCAAGGTCTTCATGAAGACTTCTGAAAGCTCCTGCTCATCTTCTGCACTCTCATTCTGTTGCTTACGATGCTCAAGCAGCATATGTACTTCTGAATTTAGAAGAGTTTCCGCAGTTTCAAATTCTATATTCAAATGAGTGAACACCAGCAGGAAAAAAAAGGCAAAGCATGGATGAAAAAGTGCATTTACAGAGGTTTTGTGGGTAAGTTTGGCTTTGGACAATAAGGAAATGAACAGCGTGTTTCCAAGTAATTGTGCAAGCCCTTTCACTAGTGATTGGGCAGAATTTCCTACTGAGAATGATGGTAAAAATTACACCACTTTGAGCGATAATCCAATGTGTTTGTCTTCTTGACCACACATTTTACATTTGCAGCCCTAACCTTCTGATTTGTCACAGTTTTGCAATGTGGGGTTTTTTTTCACCTGCTTTTGACAGAACTTAAGTAATGTATAACTTGTTTTAGAGAAAAATATTTACAACTGTAATACTCAAAAAATTCAGAAGTGATGCCTATGGAAGCCTCTGAATTCTTAAAGTAAATGTGGATGCTGCTGAATGTTTAAAAAAAAGGCTTCATTTACTTCAAAGGTTAATTGACCTGCTGACATTTTATCATCAGAAAAAAAGTTGTAACCAATCTTAATAGATTCCCTCTCTCCCCTCTTTTTAGCCAACTCTCTGTTGGTTTTGTTCATTATCACTGTACTTATTCCAATAACAAGGTCTTTCAACACCAGCAGTATAAGCTGTTCAAAGCATTGGGATCACAGACTGCATCCCGGGGAGCCCTTCAGCACTGTTTTATAAAGGCAGTCAGATACAGGGCAGGGCTAGAAAGGGACTGCCAACCTTTATTTCGCATGGAGTGGTAATGTAACTTGGGCTGCACATGGATAAGCTATAGATTTTAATGTAAACCCTACAGAAAACCTGCTTTTCAGGACTATGCTTTTGTCCATAATTAAAAAAATACAGCACGATGCCATTTTCTTTTTCCTTCTCATCCAAGACCATTCTGAGGTGTAAATACAGCTCTGGAATTTATACTACATAGTTTTTTGAAAAGCACACACAGGCTATTAATGGCCCTAGTTACAACTCAGGATCTGGACAGCTGGTTTCCCAAAATGCACTATTTTGATGTCGAGAAACATCAATGAAAAAGTAACGGTTATATAAAAAACCCTAAGAGTCTTTTTGCTACAACCTGATACTATTTTTTTTTTTAACTTTATTTTTAATTCCTGTATGTGCACACAGCAGTCCACACAGGAACAGCTGTATCTTAACAGATGATGGGTTCCTTCTCAATCCTAGAATGGTTTGTGTTGGAAGGGATCTTAAA